CAATAGAATCCAGATTGTAAAATTTTGTATGTTGTTTTATCAACACCAAAATGTCCCCCAAAATTAAAATTATGACATTTTTGGATAATTTCATAAGTTTCTTTTAATGGTACACATCTTTGAATAATTAGATTCTTTTCTTATTTATATAAAAATGGTCCATCCCAAAAGTAAGTCTTAACTTCAGAAATAAATTTTCTCTTTTGTTGGTATGTCATTCCATAGGGTATAATATCGCTAGCAACAAAGTTTACAATTTCGGCATACCACGGAACACACAACTCATTAATAGTGAACAGTTTTTCATCTGGAAAATGTTCATTAATTTCTTTTTCAAAATAGAGTTATTTTTCTAACTAAAGCCTGGACAAATGATCAAAAATTTGATTTTCAGTCCACTTTCGATCTACTATTTCAAAATCAAATTCTTGCAAAAGAAAAATCCATCTTATAAGTTTAGGTTTAACATCCTTCTTTTCCATTAAGTATTTGATAGCAAAATGATCTGTATGCACTAAACAATGAGTTCCAATTAAATATGATCTAAATTTATCAAAAGCATATACTATTGCTAATAACTCTTTTTCAGTTGTTGTATAATTGATTTGAGTTTCATTAAGATTTTTAATAGCATAGTAAATTACTTTGAAAATTTAATCATATCTTTATCCTAAAATAGCTCCTATAGCATAATCACTAGCATCACACATCAATTCAAAATGTTTTCCTCAGTTTGGTTAAACTATAATTGGTGCAGTGATTAATTTTTCTTTTAATAAATTAAAAGCTATTAGCCATTCCTCATCAAAATTAAAAATTGCATCTTTCTCTAGTAAATGTCATAAAGGTTTGACAATCTTTGAAAAGTCTTTAATATATCGTCTGTAGAATCCAACATGTCCTAAAAAACTCCTAATTTCTGTTGGATAAGGTAAATTAGCAATCACTTGAATTTTAGCAGGATCTAATTCCATACCATTTTCTGATATTTGATGACCTAATATAATTCCTCCTGCTACCATAAATTGACATTTTTCTTGATTAATGACTAAATTTGTTTCTTCACATAGCTTAAGAAATTCAGATAAATATTCTAAACATGAGTCAAATGAAGTTTCAAACACTAGAAAATTATCCATGAATACTTCAATCCTTTTTTCAATTAAATCATAAAAAATTGTCATCATACATCTTTGAAATGTAGTAGGGACATCACATAAACCAAAGAGCATCCTTCTAAAAGCAAAAGTACCATAAGGATCGGTAAAAGTTGTTTTCTCTTGATCCTCAAGAGATATTTGTATTTGGTGATAACCAGCATATCCATCCATAAAATAAAAGTATTTATGCCCAGCTAGTTTATCAAACATTTGATCTAGAAAGGGTAATCGAAAATGATCTTTCCTAGTGCCAAGATTTAACATTCTATAATCAATGCATATTTGTCACCCTGTAACTTGTCTAGTAGGTATTAATTCATTATGTTCATTCTTCAATTAACTCATTATGGCCATTCACAGTTATAGTTACTCCTCCTTTCTCAGGAACACATTGAATTTGACTAACCCATGTACTATCTGAAATAGGGTAGAAAATTCTAGCATCTAACCACTTTAAAATTTCTTTCTTAACAACTTCTTTCATAACAGGATTCAGTCTCCTTTGAGGATCAGCCCTGGGTTTACAGTTCTATTCCATATGAATTTTATTCCATATGAACAGTTCTATTCCATATGAATTTTATCCATACAAATTGGAGGACTGCTCCCTTTAATCTCAACAATTGTCCATCCAAAGGCTTTCTTAAAATTTTTCAAAATTTTTGTAAACCTTTCTTCTTCTTCCATTGCTAATTTTGAGGAAATTATAACTTGTAAAGTTGAGGAATCTCCTAAAAAGGCATATTTTAAATGTTCAGGAAGTAACTTCAACTTAAGTTTTGGAGGTTTTTCAATTGATGGACAAAATGATTTATCTTTGCTATCATGTCCAAAATTTTAAAACTTTCTCGAACATAGTTTAAATCTTCCTTAAAAAGTCCTTCATATCGATCTAATTCCTCTTCTTGCTCATGTTCCAAATCTTTTTCTTCAGATTTTTCTTCATAAGTTGTTTTGAAATGACAGTCACTTAGATATCTTATAACATTCATCCATCATCTGGATATTTCATTGATCTTGAAATATTGAAAGTAACAGTTTGATCATTGAGGCATATTGTTAATTCCCATTTTTGTACATCTATCATTGCTCTTCCTGTGGCTAGGAAAGATCTCCCCAAAATGATAGGTATCTTCTTATCTTCCTCCATATCTAACACAATGAAATCACACAATGAAATCAAATCTAACACAATGAAATCAACAGGAAAGATAAATTGATCCACTTTCACTAAGACATCTTCTATAACCCCTTGAGGGTATGTTATCAAACGATCTGCAATTGCAGAGTTATAGTAGTAGGGGTTATTTCTCCTAATTACAATCTTTTGAATATTGATAATGACATAAGGTTAATACTTGCACATAAATCACATAAAGTTTCCCATAAAATCCGTCTCCTATTGCACATGAAATTTTAAAGCTACTAGGATCTTTAAGCTTTTCAGAGATCTTTAAGCTTTTCAGAAAACTGCACTCCTCATTCAGAAAACTTTTTCTGAATTATAGCATTGCACTCCTCACTAAGTGCAACAATCATTATATCTTCAAACTTCCTTTTCTTGTTGAGAATATCCTTCATAAACTTTACATAGCTTGACATTTGTTCCATGGCTTCAACAAATGTAATATTAATTATAAGCTTTTAAATATTTCCAAAATTTTGAAAATTACTTATCTATGAGGTGGTGGTTTTTTCAAATCAATTTTCAGTGGAGAAATAGGTCTCTCAGAATCTTTTTGAGCGTCCTCTTTTGATTCTTCAATTTATTCTCTCTCTACTTCAATTTCTTTTTGAACCCTACCTTCCAACTCTCTTCCGCTTCTAAGTTGAATGACTTTTACTTGCTCTTTATTCTGGTCTTTTGGATTTGATTCTGTATTATTAAGAAGTGTTCCTTGAGATCTATTATTTAATGAATTTGCTATTTGCTCAAGTTGATTCTCAATATTTCTAATTATAGCTTCTTGACTTTGTAATTGATTTCCCATTTGTAACACCACTTCTTCTATGTACAATTTCTTCTCCTTAAATTGTGTATTACTGTTGTAACCCCACCATCTGTTCTGGATTTATCACCCGAAGGACTTTCCTCCGCTTGAGCCTTTTACCTAGGACATACTAAGAGTGAAGCTGAAGATCACACTTGATTCATCGGGTTAGGCTCCTTCTTCTTTCACGAAGTTAGCTCTTGCTTCCTTTCACCTCCCGTGTGAGGTTCAAACCCTCTCATCTCCTCAAAGGCCCTCTTATATTCGACCTTGCTGAATATTTCAAATTTGGGGCCGATTTGACCACTATGATGTTGCTTGGATCTAAGCGAGTTAAACGGAGAAAATGAAAGGGGGGGGGGGGGGGGAGGGAAAAAAAAAATCTCTTTTCAACACCTCTTTATACGAATCACATGCACGAATTTATGAAAGTTCAATTATTGTGCTATTAAGTAATCATAAATACTGTTGGTTTTTCATAAATAAGATTCTCTTGTTCTTATCACAATTGTTGTTTTAAAGAAGCAAAAGAATCAAAGAGCTAAATATGTACAAAAAAAATATACTGACATGGATCTCGATGAAATCCAATGGTCTCAAGCAAGGTGACATGGTCGTAGTGGACCCAGAGGGAAAGCGACCTGAACGAGGTCCGGACGACTAAACAAACCAAATGACCCAAGCAGTTGAGGACTCTCTAGAGACTTTGGTCGACCAACCGACCTGGTGTCCGTCCGGACACTTTTTGGACCTTATTCGCATTGCTTTAAAGATAATCGACCAACCGACTGTACTCACAATGCTAACCGACTGGTGGATTCGACTAAGACAATCAACCATTATGGCCTATCACCTCAACATATCTCCCACTCTGTAAGACCAATGACCAGACAGACTTTGGGCCTCATTTTGAATAAAATACCTAGAATAACTTACATATTCCTATTTTAATAGGAGTATAATTGTAACTTCATATATTGTACTCCCATATCTATAAATAGAAAAAAGTCACACAATTTTCTCATTTTACCATTCATCAACACTCTCATCTCTTCTTTCTTTCTATTTATCTATTTCTCTCATTTGTTCTATTTTTTTAGTGTGAATCATATGACAAATATGAGTTCAACCATACTGACTCCTATTATTTTTGGAAATGTCATTTGAATGTTATTTGAAATTAGAGAGGTAGCTCTGCCATTAAAAAAAGAGACTTGGAGTTGGAAATAAATTTTGATATATGCAAAACTGAATTATTTGTGCTCCTCATTGAAATTATAATAAAAAAATAAAATATACTAAATTAAGTGCTTGCCCCATTAGATATATGCATGGCGACCGCGTATTATGTGGCACATAAAGCCAAGTTTCCTTGTAGTTGTCAAGAGATCCATCAGCTCATCCGTGGAAATTGGATCGGTGAATTGCTATTTAAGTTTGCCCCGGTTAGCCAAATTCCTTGTAGTTGTCAAGAGATCAATCAGCTCATCCGTGGAAATTGGATCGGTGAATTGCTATTTTAAGTCTGCTCCGGTTAACGGTGACACTGTCGCCACTGCCACTCGTCGCTTCGCTCTTCACGCAAATGGAGACACCTTTGATTATCGAAGCTAGTACAAGCGGCGGCGGAGATGGTCGCCAAAGGCAGAAGCCCAGCCAACCGTACAAGCGAAGGTCCGATGCCATAGCCTACGGTTCGCGCTATCAGAAGGCGGCCGCTCTGGTTGATCTGGTTCGTGGAATCCTCAACCGACTCTTCCCCTTCTTACCCTGACTTGCAAAATGCGTCCCTTAACCGTAGATGCATCTGGAGTTATTGTTGTCTTTTTTGGAGGAATTTGAACGGTAGCCAGCTTCGTGAGGGGTGTGCATGTCAGTATGCACATTTATTTAGAACTCTTTTGAGCATCGGTGGAGTTGGGGTTCAATGGGAGCGGGGGCAAGCTTTTTGCCCCCATACTTAGGAGGGGTAACATTTTCATACGATGCACAACTAAGATATTGGTAGGTGAATCTTTGATGGATTTTCTTAAACCCGTATAGGGGCGGGGGTCTTCCTTTACCGCTTCTTGATTCCCCCATTGCTTTAATGTCTGGGGAACGTAAGTGTTAGGAAATCTCGTAACTTTTGTGTCAGGGGGACATCGCATTCATTCCAGCCGTTTTGACGGATTTTTATTAGAGTGCTCTGTATCAAATGGATAATGTTGGGTTCCTTTTTTGCTTCTGTTTCCTGGTGCGAGCAGTGGAAGATCTATTTCTGGGACTGGGTTTGGAACTTAGGGAAATTACTTTTTGTATAAAACTGTGCTAAGCAAATATTAAGTAATTTTTCAGTGTCTCTGTTGCACTTGTACCTCCAAGTTTTGGATAATGTCCTGTCTGGTTTCTGCAGATGTAGGTTGAGATATAATGATAAATTAGGAAACAATGCCTAACAGCTATGATGAACGAAGAAGGTTATGGTTTTATGTCAGTTTCATCTTTAAAAAGGAGTGTTTTTGGCAAATTTGGACTAAAATAACAGTTCTGTTGAAACAAAAATTATTTCAAGCTTTGGTTGTTTTATCACTATCTCTTTTTCATAATCTGCCCTTGGTTAAATACAAGATAGGAATGATGCGTTTTGACTGGTAAACATGAGATTGTAGAAAATAATAACTTAAAATGAAGTAAAGAAAAGTAAGGCTTTCTATTAATTTGTTCATATTTTAAACAGATCAAAATTTGCTTATTTTCTGGATGATGCAGAAGGAGAAGCACTCCTAAATTTTGTAAAATTGACAAAAATCAAAACATAGCAACATGTATTGGATGATAAATTTATGATCATGTTGCTTTATTGGCGATTAAACTGAACATCTGGTTGAAATAACTGAAACACATGCAAAGTTGAGGAATAGGGTTAGTTGGTGTGAATAGAGGGCACATTGCTTAGGAACTTAATTATTCTAATCACGTTAGTAAGAATTGAATTCGAGACTTTTTGGTTTAGGGAAGATTTTTTAACAGAGCAGTTGTGGTTCTCATCGGTTTGATTGAACTGCAAATTCATTTGGGTAAACAAATTTTGCGATTAAATGTCATACATCTGGAAGCGCAATGCTGTTTAGTTTGGTGTGTTTTTTCTATTTTCAGGGTCTGCATGTGGAATCTTGAAATTTTAGCTACTTCGTGTGCAGCGCATGAAGTTTCGTTTTTTTCAGCCAAAATCTGGTCAAGTTGGGAAGTTAGATTTATGCAAACAACTTCTTTTTAGAGATATTTTCCACGTATTTTGGCCTAATTTTCATTCAAGGAATACAACTTCAAGCTTTCCTAGCCAAATTTCCATTTGAGTTGATCATTTTTTTTTATCGAAATGTGAATATATGAATTGGGTTCTAGTTCTAAATCATATTTTCTTACTGATAAACAAAGTAGCCTTTATTAAAAAGATCAATAAATGAACTATCGCTGATTAATTTATGAATTCTACATTTTGAATTACTTACGCGGGACACGCTTACGGGAGCCCAAATCACTTTCTAGCAGAGCGTGGATTCGGGATTCCGTGTTTCCCTTCAATTGTGGGATCAAAATGCAAGTGACCTGTATGGATTTCTCGGCTACGCTTGAACTGGGATGGGATTCTGTATCGATAAGCCTGCAGTAGGCCCTACCGCTTGAGGTTTTTGCCGCGAGGTTTATAAGCCCTTTTATTTTATTTTATTTTATTATTTGAAGGCTACTTAGGGTTTTTTTAAGAGGAGATTATTTGTGTTAATTTTTTTTTTGAGACTTTTGGTGATCGTTATTGTTTTGGGAAAAGTTATCTATTTTTTGCTCTTCGGAGTATTGTATCATTTCATTTTGCAAGCATTATTTCTGTATCTTGCTTATGAACAGGCGGTAGATCCTCTTAGACCTCTGTATCACATCGTTTTGGAGCCCTATTTGCCATTTTCAGCTAGGAAATTGTCAAACGACACTTATTGTAGCCCAAACGTCACTGAACTTGTCTATTATCTTCCCCTTGTCATTCCACAACCACCTATCCACAAAACCCGCTTCCTGTACACCTTATAAGAGCTCTAGAATGGAATCATTTAGTTTTATTGCTCGACAAACATAAATTTTTAGAAATTTGTCTTTTTTATCTCAAATTTAAAATTCAAAAAAAAAAAAATCCAAAATATCCCAATTATTCCTACCACAATTCCTAACCCTAACCCTTAATTTTTAAAATCCAATATTCCTACTTTCACAAAAAATTCTTCCCGACACCTACGACAAATACCTTAAACCTACATCCGTTGGAAACTTTATCGGGAGGAAAGGATGTCATATTGTTTCGGAGGAATCTATAAAGAGGTGTCCATAAGTTTACTATGGAGGATATGCAGTGGAAAATTCTCTAAATGCAGTAGAGACTTGCTGCCTTTGAGAAGACAATTCGGTGAGGTCACCCGTAGCTATAATGATAACTCATCAAATTGAGAGGAGTAAGTGAATGCCTTCCACAAGGCGGTTTCCAATGATGAAGAACCTTATCTCGATAATGCAATATGAAATATCAGAAGAGAAGTCATGATCTTGGAGTAAAAATGAAATTTATCACATTTTAACATTTGCATGGATCCAGATGAGTTTATCGAATGAATTCAAATAGTAGAGCGAATTTTTGAGTACAAAGATGTTCCTAAGGATAAGACTGTTAAATTGATAGCCATTAAGCTTTAAAAAAATGCTTCACTGTTGTGAGAGAATCTAAAGCGTATTCGACAGCTAGAAGGGAAGAGTAAAATCACCACGTGGTGCAAGATGAAAAGGGAGATGTAGTGCAAATACCTTTGCCCACACTATCAATAGGATATGTTAATAAAACTTCACAACTTGTAATAAAGAGATTATTCTGTGGAGTAATACACAATAAAATTTGATAAATACATACTAAATATGAGCTGGTGGAATCAGATGAGCACAAAATTACAAGATATCTTGAAGGGCTAAGGTTGTCTGTTAGGAATGTGGTATATCTGTAGCCATATTAGTCTCTACTCAATATACAAACCCTAGCTTTGGTGGTGGAGAAATAGTAACGTCACTGGGTGACAACTACACCTACCTTACAGGCAGAGTTTAGTCTCAGGATCAGACAACAAAAGTGTATTTAGTGAGCATCCCAACCGACCCTGCCCAAGAAAAAATCTCGGAGTGGAGGAAAAGCGGAGACCTCCGACACTCCCAAATGCGTCCCAACAAAGAATTGCCTCAAGTTTTACCGCTTTGGGTATCCTGCATCTGATTATCCAAATTGGAGGGTGATCTCCTTCAATGAGTAGAAAGCCGTTGAAGAAATAGACAGTGGCACAAGATACTTTAAAAAAAGTTAGGACACAAAGGACTACCGACTCCTAGCTAATGAGGGAGAGATGCTAGTGATTCCATTTGAGCCCAAGAAAGAGATCACAACAGGATTAACAATGATTGTCTTAGAAGACAGTGAGCCCTCAATGAGTCAATATCAGGAGATGGACAACCCTAGTTGAAGGATTTGCTGGATATCATGAGCGATAATTTATACCCTAGGTGGTTAGCCTTGTGTGTGTTCTAACCTCCCATAGATTTCATTTCAGAGTTAATTCCTCTAGATATAATTGTTTATTGGATGCGCCCAACTGAGTACAAGAAATGAGAGAAACAAATTACATATTAAATGCCTCGAGACTTGGTTCGTGAGAATGCTCGTCTGTGTAGTTTCAGTTCTAGTTGTGCCAAAAAAAGATGGATATTTATTCTATCAGGACAAACTTTGAAATGATGTATGTGTTTCAGAGTTGTCTTGGGCGGACATGCATATATACTATCATGGGGCTTCCCGTGCTACAACAGTGTAATGGATTTGTTATGATGATAGATCGAATCTGATGACTTTTATACCGGAGAATGATGCGAGACACACTTACTGGAGTAAAGATCATGTTGACTGATCGTGGACGCAAGATTCTGCATTTCCCTTTGATTGTGGGACCAGATCGTAAGCAACCATAGGGATTTCTTGTCTAAGCATGAATCGAGATAGGATTCTATCCTGATAAGCCCGCAGTGGGCCTTCCCACTCAAGGTATTTGCTGTCAGGCTTGTGGACTCTTTTATTTTATTTTATTATTTGAAGACTAATTAGGATTTCTTTTTACGAAGAGACTTTATATCTGTTATTTTTCTACTTTGGAGACTTTTGATGCTTATTATTTTTTTGGGAGATGTTATTCTTTATTTTATGCTCTTTAGAGTGTTGTATCTTTTCCATTTGCAAGTGGCGTGCTTATATCTTTCTTAAGAAGAGGTGGCAGATCATTCTCGACCCTTGTACCTCATCATTTCGGACCTTATTTGCTATTTTCAGCCGATATAGCCGCATGACGATGCTTATCTCTGTCTACACGCCATGGAAAATGCCTATTATTTTCCCCTTGCCATTCCACAACCACCAACTTTTAGGAGTCCTAGAACGATATCAATTAATGTAGGCTCCTAGATAACGTAGTTGGTTATATGGTTAACAATGTTGATTTGAAGGTTGTTTTGAGGTGGATGTTGCCTGTCTATCCTTGTTTTGATTAAAAAAAAAATTCATGCCGATGCTTATGAAGCACTAGAATTGTGGCACATTATTGCACCATGATGAAGATGAACATTCAAGACAAAAGTATAATTACTATGATGTATTTGACACGAGGCGTAGGCGTG